AACTTAGCATGATCAACGTTGTGTGACTCCTCAAGAGTCAAACGAAGACCACGCTCTTCCTCAAGAGCATTGGAAAGATCCTAGATCTCATCGGCATAGTCACGACTATGCCCTTCCATCTTAAAGATGGTGTCCTCGTGAGCCTCGATCATGTCATTGGCTTCACCAAGTTGTTCCAAGAGAGCAACAAAGTGCTTCTTGGATTTTTCCTTGAGTTTGCCCATAAAGGCCTCAAACTCGTTAGCCTCCACATTAGCTCCCTCAAGTTCATTAATGCAATCCGTCGGGGAAGGATGATTAATGATGGTAGTTTTGATGTTGGAGGTTACCTTGTTGGTGGCTTTAGCCATGAGGCACTTGGCGGTGATGCTCTCGTTGGGTGAGTCGAAGAGAGACACCCGTGATGTTGTTGCAATGGCAACGGAGGCCATGGCAACCGACTCATCATCTTCATCATCCTCATTGTACTCTTCTTGCACAACCAAAGCCTTGGGAGGAGTCTTCTTGGAGAAGTTGTTCTTGTTGGGGAATGACTTGGCCTTGTCCTTTCGGATGAGCTTGCCACCATTGTCTTCCCTCTTCTCATACGGGCATTCCGCAACGAAATGACTCACGTTGCCGCAATTATAGCAAGTCCTTACACGTTGCTTGCCCCTTGTACCACTCGAGTTGTTTTTGCTAAAGTTTGGCCTCGAGTTTTTCTTGCTCCAAAATTGCCTTGAAGCAAGTGCCATGTGTTCATGATATGCATACTTCGTATCTTCGGGGCTGCTCTCCTCTTCTTCCTCTTCTTCGTCTTCCACGATGAGCTGGCCTTCAATGCAAGGTTAGGCTTCTTTGCTCGTTGAGAACGGAGCACCGCATTGTCGGCGGTCTTGTCCAAAATGTTCATGGCCACAAACTCATCCAACACTTCGCTTGAGGTCAAAGTGTGGAAGTCCGGTCTTTGACGAATGACGGAGGACATGGCCTTGTGATAGGGAATCATTGCCTTGAGGAATTTGCGCTTGATCCAATTGTCATCTGTGTCCTTGCTCCCGTGATCTCGTAGTGAGACCGCGAGTTTGGTTACTCTCCGATAGAGCTCACGAGGTTCTTCATCTTCCTTCATTGCAAACTCATCGGCCTCATCTTGTACCACTTCATAGTTGGAGCGTTGAATGCTTGCGCTTCCTTGGTAAAGAGTCACGACACAATGCCATGCATCTTTGGCCAAGGCGAAAGGACGAAGATGAGGTAGGTCTTCGGGTGGAATTGCATCTTGAATGATGAAGAGAGCATTCTCATTGAATTGATTGTCCGCGGCTTCTCAAGGAGTGAAGTTGCTTGGATCATGTGGATAGAAACCTTCTTCAATGATTCTTCAAAGGTTAGTGTTCACATGATTTAAATGACGTTTAAAGCGGTAAACCCAAGAATCAAAATCCTCATTTTTCACAATCTTAGGGGAAGGACCGACATGATTTAAATGAGTGGAAGGAACCGGTCCACCATAAACAAGTGGTGGTTCCACATGGGCAAAGATGTCGGTGCCATTCTTGCCACTAGAAGAAGGAGCCTTTTCACTACTAGCTTCCCCCTTATCGGGGATAGCATCCGTCACCTTGTTGGCGGGATCATCCACTTTCAACGGTGCGGTGGATAGTTTAAGCCCCTCAAGAAATTTAGTAAACATGCTTTCGACTTTGGTCGTCATGGAGGTTTTCAATGTCTCCAAGGCCACATTGAACTCCTCACGAGAGACCGAAGTTCCCCCATCTCCCGTAGACGAGATCAGATTCATACCGGAGTGTTCCTCCACACCGTCTACGGTATCAACCATACTCTTTGGACGGTAAAGTCCTTAATAGAGAGACGAGGCTCTGATACCAATTGAAAGGATCGATATGATTGATTAGAGGGGGGGTGAATAGGCAACTAACAATTTTTAGCTTTTCTTTAACAATTAAACTTTGCATCAAAGTAGGTTGTCTAGATATGCAACTAGGTGAACGACCTATATGATGCAACGAGGACAGATACACAAGCAAGCAAGAGATATGAAACAAGTAAGCTTGCTCAAATAAAGGGACGAGATAACCAAGAGTGGAGACGATGGAGACAAGGATGTGTTGCCGAAGTTCCTGCCCTTTGAGAGGAAGTACGTCTTCGTTGGAGCGGTGTGGAGGCACAATGCTCCCCAAGAAGCCACTAGGGCCACCGTATTCTCCTCACGCCCTCACACAATGCGAGATGCCGTGATTCCACTATTGGTGCCCTTGAAGGCGGCGACCGAACCTTTACAAACAAGGTTGGGGCTCTCTCCATAACTTAATTGGAGGCTCCCAACAAAAACCACGAAGCTTCACCACAATGGAATATGGCTCCGAGGTGACCTCAACCGTCTAGGGTGCTCAAACACCCAAGAGTAACAAAATCCACACTAGAAAGTATGGGGAAGTAAATATCCTTTGGTGGAAGTGTAGATCTAGGTCTCCTCCTTCAATCCCTAGCAAATCAACAAGTTTGAGTGGCTAGAGAGAGAGATCGGGCAAGAGAGCTTGAAGGGCATTAATGGTGGAGTGAGAGAGGTCAAAAGTGGGAGTGGTAGGTGGGAGAAGCTCCCTTAAATAGTCACCCACATTTCCAACCGTTACTGCATTTTTTGCACTGCAGCGGTACAACCGGTCCTCGTCCCGGTACAACCGGGACTCACGGTGTAACTGCAGAACCCTACCAAGCGGTACAACCGGACAGGCGGGCGGTAGTACCGGCTAAGAAAAATAACCGGACTAACCGCCTGGCTACCGCACAACCACCGCATCAAAACAGGAGCTTGACCGGTACTTGGGCGGTGCCTGGCCGGAACAACCGCATGGCCTTGAGCTCTTGGGCGGCTAAGTTCTGAGCGGAAGAACCGTTCGGACCACCGGTGGTACCGGTCATCGTGGACCAACCGGGCCACTACCGCCCAAGAACCGCATCAAACCAGAAGCGAGAGTGGTACTTGAGCGGTGCATGGACGGAACCACCGCCCCAGCTGTTGCAGAGCATGGTGGCGGTACCACCGCCCGGAGGCAGCGGTACAACCGCTCGAGCGAAGCTGGTGAGCGACAAGATCCAGCGGTACAACCGCTCCAGAGAGCGATACAACCGCTGGGTAGAAACAGTGAGCAGGAAAGAGGGGAAGAGGCAAGGAAAACTCTCTCTCTCGCACACACCTGAGGAAGGCAAAGAGAGGGTGAGAAAAGTGTACGTGAACTGATTCCCCCAGAGCTTCCTAATAAGGATTCCCTCTTGATAGTACGGGTACTCTACGACCAAAGAAAATAAAAGCGTAGAGGACACATCTTCGATCTTTTCCTTCGAGAGGCAATAGCAATTCGATGTAAGCCTAAGTATCGAGAACCTGAAACATATAGCATACGATTAGATCACAAAGGGTTGTCATCATCATCCAAAACATAAAGTAGGGAAATGCCCTTTCATTATATTTGTTTACAGAGAAAGTACATCATAATCACACCCACAACTTAAATTAAACTTTGGTTGGTCGACCAAATTTCACCTATGCGATGCAAGGTCCATGACGTGAGTCATGGCATTTTCACTAGTCCTTGGTCTTCGGTGATGAGCAGCCACGGAAGATCTGCCATATACATCTCGTTTACATTAATAACATTTTTTATACTCATTGAACACTTTTCAAATACATTATTAACATTTTTCTTGATACATATTTTCATGCCTACTTTTTTCATCCATATTTATTTATTTATTTATTTTACACATAGGAAACATTTTTATTATACACATTTGACATTTTTTAGATATATGTTTTGATTGTAATTTTTTCATACAGATTGTACATTTTATTTATACATAAGAAACATTTTTCTTATATATGTTCTTCAAAATTCAAGTACATGATTAATATTTTCTTTGAACATATGTTTTGTCAAATTTCGTTCATTAATATTGTACATTTTTCCTATACATAAGGAATATTTTTACACACATTCAATGTTTTTCAAATGCATGATTAATATTTTTTATATATGTTCAATATTTTTCATATACATACATGATTATAATTTTTTAATATATACTCACTCGCCGTGACCAAGACATAGAATTGAGGAGAATTTTGAAAGAAAATACCCTTCACTAATTACATACTCCCTCCGTCCCATTATATAAAAGCGCTTTTAACACTGCATCAGTGTCAAAAACACTGTTATATTATGGGACGAAGGAGGTAGTTAGCAACTTAATTAGCGGCTACTAAATAACTAGTGTAAGGCAACTGAATCTCGCTGCCCCATAATAAAATCAATCAGTGGGATGAGAATGTGTATGCAATCAGGCAGAGATATTCCTTTTCACTACATTCCTATTGACGACTACGTATTAATCTCTACTTTTAATGGAGCAGTTGGTAGTCTCCCCCGGTCAATTTTCGTCTTCGATCCCACCTCCATAGATTAAAAAACTGGTGCCTCCATACTCCAGTCCCCTCGCACGCCTCGCACTCCCATGCCTCAACGAAAAAGAACCAGCGAAAAAACCTACGAAGAAAAAACAATGAAAAAAAAGCAGGCGACTCGCACGCACGAGCGAGAGTGCCCTCGAGCGAGGCCTCCAGATTTCGCCGCCGCTCTCGCACTTGCCGTCGCCGATGCCTGCGCTACCTCGACGGAAGCCATCGCAAATCCATCCCTTCGCCGCCGCCCTCGCGCTCGCATCAAGGATCGAGGACTCCAGAGTGCCCTAAATCCCTGCGCTACCTCCGTTCGTCGCCGCCGATCTCGTCGCTACGTCGGTGAGAAATATTTGTCGCCGCGGAACCCCTTGCCATCGTGGATCCCTTTCCAAACGCCGATCCGCTTACTCCTGCTTGTGGCCCCAGCTCGCCACGGGCAGGGATCGGCGTCTCGCCGGCGTGGAGCGTGGCAGGGGAGAGAAGGGTGGGTAAGATCGGCGGGGCAGAGTTCATCCGGAAGGACGGCGCGGTGGACGACATGTACGGATACCTCAACTACCTGTCCCTTGAGTATGACTCGTCTCGGACACCAATCCTGCTTGGTATGAATTTTTGGCTCTTTCCTTCCTTCTCTCCGTTTAAAACTAGAAAGGTTGTGATGCAAAAATTCGATTTGTTGCTACCTGTATTCAGGCTGATCTGCTATGGCTGCGGTTCCTTGTGGCAGAGTTCTCTATATTCCAATTAATTTGAAAGCAGATGATAAACTCTGATCTGCTTGTCCATTTATACTATATCCCAGATCTCATTTGTGCCTAGAATATGAGCTTCTTCACGGCAATTTCAAAGTTACATGTACCATAGTAAGCCAATCAAAATCTGCACCATGTTAGTCTGATGCTTTCTTACCCGCTCATCCTGAATTAGTAGGCATTTTCCAATAGGATCAGCTTTGTTGAAAAAACTCACTTGTATTTTCCATGTTTATTTGCAGGGTATTTTCAAGGTCCATGCTTCAAATATAAATAAGATTTTGTCCTTCTATCTGAAACTTGATCTTCTGCTTATGTTTGCATTTGCTATCGATGATGTGAATTTGAGCAAATACCCCACAACGTTTTCACTGAGTTTGGATAGCATATGTAAGTTTTTTTATACAATATTTTGTGATCGAATATGTGTTTTCCCAATCTTTATTAGATGTAATGGAATGCTTGATTATGATGGCATTTTATTTTATTTTTTCCCAATCTTCCTGGTGCGAAGCAACAAATTTGGATAAAAAACATTATTTGTTTAGAAACATATTTAAGTTTATCTGTAGATATTAATATTAGCTTGAAATTTGAACAAGAAATAGTTTCTTAATACGTATTTTAAATTTGCAATACACTTGTATGTACACTGCCACTAACGGTGCTCTTGATCATGTCAAGTATAAGTACTTATGGTGCATGCCTTAATCATTGGAATGGAATGAATACCAGTTTATGTAGGTTGGTGAGAAGCGAGGCCGACTCATATTTGATGAAGAATGATGTGCAACCAGTAAGAAGATTAGGACGGGTATTCCAGTAATCCCGTGGATTAGTCTCTATAGTTGTTAGCAGCCTATAAAGCAGAGGTATCTGTGGCTAAATAAATAAAAATTCATGACTTACTATTTCACAATATTAGTTTCCACTATAGTGATGCTGACTAAATCATGCTACTTCTCATTATTGCTTTGTCTCTGTTTATTGCTCGGTAGCAGGGTATTCCCATTTAGAATATGTTCGTGTGCATCCACGGCCCCACCCTCTCTGAATTGGGGAATTTCGACCTCCTCTGGCACGCATGCACCCACGTACTGGAGCTCATGATGGAGCAGCACTAAGGCTGATGCTGAGGGGACACATATGGACAGCGCCGCCTTGCGTCTCAGCAACTCTATGGCTCGCACCTTGATTCGTTCGCTGACCTCCTCTGGCGCGCATGCACCCACGTACTAGAGCTTATGAATGAGCAGCACTAAGGCTGATGCTGAGGGGACACATATGGACAGCGCTGCCTCGCGTCTCAGCAGCTCTATGGCTCGCACCTTGATTTGTTCGTTGCCACACGCCTCAACTGCTTGGCGACGCGCACGATTGGTGGAGCCACCTGCCACATGACTTCGCAGTTCGCGCCTATTTTGGTTCTTAAGGTTCATGGCCATGATTTTTTTTGGAATGCAAAATTTGGTGCGAGTTCATATGAATCACACAATGCTTCGCATAAGTTGGTGCAGATTTAATCGGGAACTTTGGTAATACAAATCCCCCTCCATTGCCTCTTTTCATAGTCAGTCATCGTTTCTATTTCGATTTTGGTAGCTATGCCTATCCTTGTTATAGATCATAGGGTTGTCATCTTCACAGATCATGATATATAAGTGATGCAAAATGCAGATGACCCACAATCTATCTGAAACTATTTATCTACAGTTGTGTTCTTTTTGGGGTATCTGAACATGTCCTAAAGATTTTGAAGAAATGGATAGCCAAAACGGTGGTGTCTTTGGCCAGATGATTTGACCATCATCTATGATCTGGAAGAAGAACCTCTCACACAAACATGTATATTTATTTGTGAATCCAATCATAACCAGAATGTATTTGACCTTTTACATTTTCCGACAGAAAGTATGAGCACCTAAATTTCTTGGAATTCAGTAGCTCATGTCTTGGATACATAGGTATTCCAGTCACTCTAAATTTCTGTATGTTTTCGCATATAATTGTCAACTTTTGTACTGCGCATGCTCCCTTATCTGTCTTCTCCATGTTCTCCGGCTGGAATATAATTTGAGAAGAGACTAAAAGTCTGTTTTCTCCATGTGTACCAGCTCTGGAAGATAATTTGGGGAAGAGACTAGAAGTCAACAAAATGTGTATTGTGATTCTGGTCTAAGAACATTTTTTCTTGTATAGCATGTCTTGGATGAGAAAGGTCGTGAGAACTTCAATGAATACTTCAGCACTGCCAACAGATGCTGACAAAGATGAAAAAACATGAGGTTGCTGACAACATTGAGTGTGACTTGCTTTTGGTGCTACTGCTGCTGAAGACAAGCTCCAGAAAAAGGTATGCATTTTATGAGTTTTTCTGGTTTATTCATTTTATTCAAATGCATTCTAATTAATATTAAATAGTTATATTTCATTTGTGTGCATGTGCTTTTAAATTCAGGTACTAGAATGCATTGAAAAGCTCCCACAAGCAGGAATTAAGTTCTGTGTGCTGACTGTGACAAAATGGATAGCTATCAATATTGGGTAAGTATTATATTTTCACATGGAAGGGATCTTTCTTGTAAAACTGGTTTCTAGAAGTCTAGGCTAGCTATTTATTTTTCTCATTCATGTTCTTGTTCAACTTAGACAATAAATTATTATGCAGATAATCATCATCCCGGAAGCACTTGCACCACTGCCTTGAGAAAAACAGAGTGAAATAATCTATTGCCGAGTTGAACAGATGATCAAACTGCCTTTATATTTAAAATTATCGCCTATGTAATTTTTTTGGATGAGTATATTTACAACAACCATTCATAAATTTTACAAAAAGGAGTTCAACACAACAAACATCCACATTTGGAATTCTACTCTATGTAGTCAAAACCTTAATAATTACTTCTTAGTGGTTGATCTCGGCATGGGAGAGGGAGGGAGGGACGGTCTTTTAGTTTTACCATTGAAAAAGTTTATTTTTCTTGACCACCATAAAAAGGTTAGCGATCTTACATTTTGACATTTTTTTGCAAACCATGTGGATGGAATTTATTTCATCATAGGACATACCTGTTAATATTGTGAAAGTTTACATGAGAGGTAGGGTACTTAAAATGGTAAAAGTGATTGCTATTTTTTCAATAGCTTCAGAAGAACACGTAGGTTTTTTCATGTTTGCAAATCATACATGGGATTTATTTCTTGAGGATATTTGTTTTGCGAAAACATGGGATACTTTTTTCTTCTGACTACTATTCTGATTTATGAATGATGGTTTTAAATAAATCAAATTGCCATAGCAGATCGGTAGTTAATATTTATGTAGCTTCAAGCTTTCTTTTCTTGTGCCTGATGATCGTAGTTGTTTGTGCAGCTTCAAGGTTTATTTTCTTTTGCTTGATGATAGCAAGGTTGAGTAGATTATTGCCACACCCTGATATGGACGGTCGTCCTTGTATTTCAGGTTCTTGATTTTTTTTGATCGAATCACTGGATGTTTCCCTGGTTGGTCTTATGGTGAGGATCAGATAGTTCTCTTTGATGATGATGGCACCAACACAGAAGATGCAGCTTGCGGATCCCACGGCAGGACTCGGATGATGACGATGAACCTGACTACCTATTGCAATCTGAACACCTAAAGAAGGTTCCTATACTCCTCCATATTGGTTAACATTTGCATTGTTTCACCGTCGTTAAGTTATTTGTGTTATTTTTCAACCAAGCTATTACCAAGTTATGTTGCATCTGTGTTGCTAATTTCGTCTTTGTTAATTGGGATGATGCATATGGTAAATTGGCCATTGGTAGGAGGCTGCAGCTAAAGTTCTAGCTGTTAAATTTTTATTTTTATTTGTAGTTTGCAACTACTTTTTTGGTATTCCAATTTTCACTTATGTAGTTTTTAGAGATTCGCACTGAACACTTCTGTTTCAGTTCATTTCTTGTCTTGAATGAGTTCTTTTGTATGTATTCTTCTCATTTTCGGTCCAGAAACTAACATCTGGACAACAATTGATATTATTAACCATATAAGAAGTTGTGTGATTGAATCAAGTTGCACAAGAAAATCACAATTTCCTGCTGATGTTGAGGTTCCTGGACTGCTGCAGTTCTTGTTCTACGGTGACAACGTCAGGCGCAAGGCGGTGGTGGAGACATGCGCGGACGAGCACGTGCAGAAGCGAATGGTGCTCCACGGCTGCTGCTGTGTCATCGGGTAATAAGTCCGTATACAACTTTACTTCTACATGAGTTCTCTGCTTCTTGCACATGTGCTCTTCCTGACTAACGTACACACACTAAGTAGTTTTTTTCATTTGGGGTTTCCTTCACAGGATGAATCCCAGGGCTCTCAAGTTGTCGAGGTATTTCTGCCTATGTTGTGTACATCTTAGCAATGTGTATGTGTAGTCTCCAAGGGTAAGAACTATATTGCCCGGTCCAGTCACGTGGTGTGTATTGGTGTTTGGAATTCAGGCATGTACTCATTCATACTGAAATTGAACTCTGAAAGAACTGATCATGTTGTACGGTGTTGTCTCTAGGCCTACCAGTTCTGGCAGTTTTCATGCAAGGAAAATAACAGAGAATTTCCTTGAATTTGGTCAAAGTTTCATTTGTTTTGTCATATGAAGATGGCCTGACGCCTAAGAAGTCACATGGGAGATAAGGCTATCCCTGGATTTGAACTCTGTAGCCAAACATTTATATTAAGTTCGGTGTATTGAAATATTGGCTGCAATTTTCAGTGCCGAGGGATTGAGTTTCACTTTAACTTTTACTAACAGATATTAGGTGAGAGTGCGGAAGAAATAAAGGTTGCATATGACATGCACGAGAGGAAATCAGAGATGGCTCGGCGATCCCAAGGCAACATCGATATGCAGCATATAGCTAGGACGTCTGGGGTAGTATCAGAAACGACCGCGTAAAGGGCCTAAACAGTAAGCAAAAAATCTGCTTGTCAAACAAGCATACATAATCATGTTCTATATGAGTTTTTGGATTAGTAACCTGTCATGTGCAATTAAGAAAATAGCAGCAACAATGGTAAAAAGATTAAGAGAAAATATGTTTTTGCAATTGGGACAATCATGTCAAATACTGAGAAAATCTGGTTGCGCAATCGGGATATGATCAGGTAAAAAATAATATTAACAATATGTAGTGCTTAATTTATTTTTATGTTTGGAGACCCTTGAAAAGAATAGAAAAGAAATGATTAGATGTTTCCATGCTAGATCTATTTTATTTGTTTCACTACTGCAACAGTAACATGGAATGAATAGCAAAGAGTATGAGGAAATTTGATTTACAGAAACCGGCAAAAAAAATCTTGAATTAGGGAAGTAATAATGCTTAATTTATTTTTATATTTGGAAACCCTTGAAAACAATAGAAAAGAAATGATTAGATGTTAACACCCTAGATCCATTTTATTCGTTTCACTATTGCAACAGTAACATGGAATGAGCAAGAAAGAGTATGACGCTGCGTTTGGATGTCTCCATTGGTGCCCAGGAAATGGATTTGGTAATCATGTGACATCAATACAGCTGTTTGTCTGGACACTGAATTCGTATTGGAAATGAAAAACCATTTCAGACCTATTTTGGCTACCACGTAAGTCTCCCTTGCATGTTTCAGAGGGCTACCCCTTCGAATTGGACTGAAATGGCCAACCTCCCGCAAAACGTACCTGTTCGAGCCTGCTACCAGAAAATAAAAGAGAGAAAGGAGCGAGAGGGCGACCTCGTGATGACCTAGCAGGTAGCGGGCGGGTGGCCGCGGCGACCTAGCAGGTGGGTGGCGGCGGCGACCACCATGGAGTCCGACGGCGTCAAGGATGCCCTCCTCCCCGGTCCTTTCCCTCTTTCCCAACTCCTCTTCTCCGCCCCACCGAGCCACACCCCTCCATGGAGGTCGGCGGCGGCCCAGGACCGGCGCGCCCCGCTCCCATATGCCACTCCGTGTCGTCCTTCCCGGCCACCATGCCCCGCCCTCCTCGGCCACGCCCCACCATCCTCTGCCCCTCTTCTGCTCCATGACCGAAAGAGCTGCTGCTCCTCTTCTGCTCCATGGCTGAAGGAGATGCATTGCTAGAATATTTGTTATTTTACTGCTATTTCATTTAATTATAGTCGCATGTGATCAGATTTCATTTTTGAGTCATCTAGAACATGGTATAATTTTCATGGTAATATAGCTATGCAATTCCAAAGTTTGTCATCCAAACATGATTTGGTATTGAAACCTCAAAGGCATTTCAAGGAGCAATTCAGTGGACAACCAAACATGCGATTTCATATTCGTGCCATTTCAGTTTCCTCACTGGTTTGAAACCAGCAAATTTGATAAGTAATAGATTTTCTGTTGTAGGTTTGTTTTCCCTTTTGCGGAGTTGCAATAGTAACATGCAATTGTAGGCTACTAGATGGAACAATCATGAAAGAGTAGGAGCTAACTTTATTTTGAAAATAGGAAGGTTAGATTTTGCAATAGTATAGCATGCCAACATATTTTTCATAATAGGAATGGTAGCATTTTTCATAACAGTAGTAATTCCAGATTTGTTAACTTGCGGATCAAGTGGGTAGGCTTCTAAAAAGGCAGTTGACTAAAGATGAGCAAAGGGTTGTGTACGCTTAGAAAGGATGTCTTGGAGAGTGTTGAATGATGGAGGGACAAAGTAGGTGTCGGCTTTGGCTTGTGTTCCTCTTGAGACTGTGCAACCCAACTTGGAAAGAAGGCAAGAAGGTGGTGGCATACAAGACATCAAGAGCAAGAAACCGATGATTTGTGAATGGAAGAGGATCAGATTTAGTTCCAATGTCAGAAACCGAAGATCTCTTACACAATAGTTTTTGTGTAAGAGAAATTACCGTCGACAACCAGAGTATGATCTTGATAGCTTGAAACAAGGTAGACTATCTCATGACCTTGATTTGTATTAGAGTGTGTATGTGTATGTATAAGTGTAAAACATATTCATACTATTTATCACCTGTAGTCATTGTTGTGCATTACATCTTTAAATTGCCACCTTTATTGTCTTCATCTGACGATAGCCTGTTGATTTAGTATAAAGTTAGTACAAAGTTGAGTCACTTATTTTGGTACGGAGGAAGTACTTTACATAGTTGGCTTATATTGAAGACCACAATAGAGTTGGAGGTTGACCGGCTATTGTGGGATAAAAGGATAACAAAAATGCCTATGTATCCTAGAGAGGTGAGGGTGAAAAATATACATCTTATGGGAGGTGGGAGTAGGTGCAAGTTGCTCTCGGATGAATATTTCGATGCATAGTTTTCTTTTTGTAAGGAAACACATCAGCATGTCGTAAGAGTGAGGTTGAGAATGACCGGGAATAATTTCTCTACATTAGCAAATGTGAAAAAATGTATTTCATTAGAGATGGCTTTGCATCAAATTGCATAAGCGAGCGATTCATATATTGTTTTCATCAAGTTGTATAATTTTTGGGTTAGGTAGAAGGGTAAATGCATTGATTGGTTGCTTTAAGAGTTAATAATATACTTTGTTAGTTAGGATAGAAGGGTAAATGCATTGGTTGGTTGCTTCAAGAGTTACAGACACAACGGCATATCAATTGCATGCATAACAACGGACATTATATTTTTTATTTCATGGTAATGCACAACATTCAACCGTATGTTACAACGTGGG